GGATTCGAACCCACTGTCTTAGGTGTATGTGGCTGGCGCCTTAGCCGCTTGAGCCACAGGCACCGAGCCTTAAGCGGTTCTCTTGCCTTGGCCTCCCAAGAAGCTGGGACCACAGGTGCCAGCCACAATGCCTGGCTACTTTTTGTTGCAGTTGTCATTGTTGTTTAGCTGGCCTGGCCAGGTTCTAGCCTACCACCCTCGGTGTATGTGGCTGGCGCCATAATTACTATGCTATGGGTGCCAAGATGATATTAGATATTTATGCTTAAAGAAATTCAAAATGGAACTTGGAATAAGAACAGAAGTACAGGTTCAAGCAGCTAAGGTGCCAGCCACATATACCTGAGCTGGTGGGTTCGAATCCAGCCTGGGCCTGCCAAACAACAATGATGGCTGCAACCAAAAATTAGCCAGGTGTTGTGGCGGGCGCCTGTAGTCCCAGCTACTTGGGAGGCGTAGGCAGGACACTTGCTTGAGTCCAGGAGTTGGAGGTTGCTGTGAGCTGTGATGCCATGGCACTCTACCCAGGGCGATAGCTTTAGGCTCTGTCTCCAAAACAAACAAACAAAAAGAACAAAAGTACATGTTCAAAGTATATATTCTTTTTCTTTTTTCTTCTCATTCAGGTATATCAACTGGACAGAGCAGAACTATCCTCAAGGGGGGAAGGAGAGTAACATGTCAACATTATTAGAAAGAGCTGTGGAAGCACTACAAGGAGAAAAACGATATTATAATGATCCTCGATTTCTTAGTCTCTGGCTTAAATTGGTAAGTCTCAAGTGCCATTTGAGTTAAAAATATTAAACCTAGAGAGTCTAGTCGTGGGTCGTGGTGCAGACATGGCCAAGTCCAAGAACCACACCACACACAAGCAGTCCCAAAAGTGGCACAGAAATGGCATCAAGAAACCCTGATCGCAAAGATATGAATCTCTTTTTTTTTTTGGAGACAGAGCCTCAAGCTGTCCCCCTGGGTAGAGTGCCATGGCTTCACTGCTCACAGCAACCTCCAACTCCTGGGCTCAAGC